TTTTGGTTTCTTGTAGTAGTGTTTTGTTGTTTTCTTTGTATAGGCCTTTTGTTTCTCTGGTTAGATTTTTTCCTAAGTATTTCATGTTTTGGGTGGCTATTATAAATGACATTGTTTCTCTCCATTGATGGTAATGTTGTTTGTTGGGTTTGTATGTATGCTCTTAATTATGTTGAAGAATTTCCTTCCAATTTCTTACTTTTTTGAGTATTTTTATCAGGAATGGATGTTGTATTTATCAAATACTTTTTCTGCATCAATTGATACCAGTAAAGAGACTATCTCTTCCCCATTCAATGGATGTTGACTTTTCATTGTCTGATGATCTTTTTTGTTTGTTCTATAAGCAGTGTCTTTAATGTTAATAAAAACATTAATCTCATTAACCCTAAAACTTTTAGGTTGCAGATGACAAGACATGCCCCAAGATTTTTCTCTAGACTTCCCAGGTTCTTTTAAATCATAATTGGGCTAGAAAAAATAAAACTATAATGAGTCATATTTAACCTTTTTTTTTTGAAAAGTTGATATTTTCCCCTTGACTTTTTGAGATGAAGCTTTTACAAATCTTAGATGATCAAATGTGTTTGAATTTTTTTCTTAGTACAAGTACTTGCATACCAAAATTGAATGCTTTGAAATAAACTGCAATATTATTTTATCATCATTTATGAGCCTAATTTCTGTCTTACTAATGAAGATCAAGGAGTCCTGGTGTGGCACTGTGGATTAATGCATCAGACTGCAAAGTCATCTGAACTGCAAGGTTGGTGGTTCAAGCTTACCAGCTGCTCCTTGGAAACCATATACAGGGTCGCTATGAGTCAGAATCTACTCAACAGCACTAAACAACAACAAATGAAGATCAAAGACTACAATCTTCAGTATAAATTGCACCTCAGTGTAAAGAAAACAAAAATCCTCACAATTAGACCAGTAAATAACATATTGATAAATGGAGAAAAGATTGACTTTGTCAAAGACTTCAATTTTATTTGGCTCCACAACCAACACTCATGGAATCAGTAGTCAAGAATCAGATGACATATTTCATTAGGCAAATCTGGTGCACAAGACCTTGTTATTTAAAGTGTCTTTTTAAAGCAAAGTATTTCAGTGTGAGGACTAACATGTGCTTGATGCAAGTCATGGACTTTCCAATGGCCTCTTACGCATGTGAAAGCTGGACAGTGAATCAGGAAGATCATAGAGTAATAAGTGCATTTGAATTATGATGATGGAAAGGAATATTAAAAGTAGTGCAACAAGAATTCTCCTTAGAAGCCAGGATGGTGAGACTTTGTTTCTCATACTTCAGACATATTATCAGGAGGAACCAGCCCCTGGAGAAAGACATCATTCTGGAGGGTCACCAGAAAAAAGAAGGCCCTCAATAGGATGGACTGACATAGGAAAGGGCTTAAATGTAACGACAATTGTGAAATTGACACAGGACTAGGTAGTGTTTTGTTCTGTTCTGCACAGAGTTGCTATGAGTCGGCACCAATTTGACAGCACCTAACAAGAATTTCTGTCTAGATTTTGTGATCTAACTTCATAAGACTTTCACTTGAATATGGTAGAATTAATTTCTTTACAAATGACTATTTGGGAACTGAATAGATGGCACTTAACAGCAACAAGATCAGCAGCAAGATCTTCGAAGCAGCGAGGTCTAACCACTACATTACCAGGCCCTGCACCTTCAAGATGGTGGATTAGGTAGACATGTAGTGAGGAGCTCGGTCAACAATAAAACGGAACACCAGGCCAAGAGGGCTCACGAGATGGTGTTGGAACTCCGAAACAAATATAAAGGTATGTTTGGAGGATCGGAGGGTTTACAGCTGGGGAATTTGCAGGGAATCCAGAAATCCACTGTTTTCTGGATCAAGACACTCAGCTGTTCCCAGAGCCGCCATCTTGGGAGAGAAATCTTGATTCTATCAGGATTGATAGTAACAGGAGAGAACATCTTGA